AGCAGCAGCAGTTAGTAGTAGTAGTAGTAGTAGTAGTAGTAGTAGTAGTAGTCGTAGTAGTAGTAGTAGTAGTCGTAGTAGTAGTAGTAGTAGTAGTAGTAGTAGTCCACACACCGCCTCCACCACCCCCACGCCTCCACCCCATTCACCCCCTCCATTCTTTGCACTTCCCAATCGCGATTTTCACACACTGGTTGTCACGTTAGGGTTTAGGGTTTAGGGTTTCGGGTTTAGGGGTAGGGTTTAGGGTTTAGGGTTTTAGGGTCTACGAAGAAGAACCTCGCCACCTCAAATCCCGAAACCTGTGCCTCGAGTTTTGAGACCTGACAAAACGACTCCTTAAGCTCCCGTCGATAGGCCCTAAACCCTAAACCCTAAATCCCGAATCCAAAAGCAATTGGCACCCGAAGCGGCCTGAGCTGATATCCACGCTTCGAAAGCAGGGCCACGTCCCGAAGCAGGCCACGACCACTCCCAACCTACTGATCAGCAGCCTACGCCCTAAATCCGTACACCTTAATTGAACCCTTGACACCGTCATTTTTCTGAATTAAACTTTTCTTGTGTAGGGCATACCGCGGTTGAGGGCTCCGCGTATCGGCGTGCAGGACTTGAGTTGGAGGATTACTTTTCAAGTTGAGGTTTGGGGTACCTGCAGATACAAACACACACAGAGCGAGAGAGTGAGAGTTAGACAGACGGACAGACAGACAGACAGACAGCTAGACAGGGAGGCAGACAGACAGACGAACATGTACACATATATGTACATGTGCATGTACATGTACATGCTCACGTACATATTTACATATACACAAAGCAACAGCAATGCCAGTGCATTCCGAGGTGCATACACCAGCGTCGGCACACGCAGGTCCAAAGCGAACCGACGAAAGGGTTTGGGAAGACCATTCCGTCCAGGGTCCTTTGCGAGCTAGAACGGATTAGAGAACAAGGTGCAGGAGCTACGGGACTCCAGGATAGTTCTACATGGCCGACCATGCATGACCGCGCGCCAGAGATCTTAAATATAATATGCCCTTGAAAAGGGACTCCTGCTTGGTGCTCGGAGTGGTTCCAGGCATTTGTAACACTCAATCCTTCGCCTTTGGGGTGTCTGGACTGAAACGGTTAAGGGTTTAGGGCTTTGGGTTTTAGG